GTTGGAAGAAATGCAGCCAGAGTGCTCCTTGAAGGCCAGGATGGCCAAACTTAGTCTCTCATACTTTGGACATATTGTCAGGAGGGACCAGCCTCTGGAGAAGGATATCAAGTTTGGTAAGGTAGAGGGTCAGAGGAAAAAAGGAAAACCCCCAGCAAGATGGATTGTCAAAGTGGCAGCATCTATGGTCTCAAGCGTGGCAAAAATTGTGATGTTGGCCCAGGATCAGGCAGTGTTTTGTCCTACTGTACATAGGGTCGCTATAAATTGGTACCGACTCATGGCACCTAACAACAACAACAGTGCCTAAGATATCAATGTTTATGCATTGCATTTGATTTTTGAGAAAATTTCTAATTTTTCTACATTCATACTTCATACATTCCATGTTCCACTGTTAATGGATGTTACAGTTGTTTCTCTTCATTTTGAGTTGTACCCCATCAGCAAATGAAGGTCCCACGGGCTTTACTCCATTTTTGTCATCATGGTCAACTCTTCTCTGAGGAGGCAGAGCTTCCCTATTCGTATTTTGAGTGCCTTCTAACCTGAGGGGCTCATTTTCCCCGCACTACATCTGACAGATATTTGTTTGTTATTCATATGGTTTTCAGTGTCTAAATATTCAGAAGTAGTTTGTCACTTCTTCTTCTTCTTAGTCTGTCTTTGTCTGGAAGATCATTTGAAACCTGTCCACCATGGGTGACCCTACTGATATTTAAAATACCAGTGGCATAGCTTCCAGAATCACAGCAACTCACAAGCCACCATAATACGACAAACTGACAGATAAGTGGTGGGTATTCAATCTAGTGTGATCCATATGTATAGTTGTCTTTTAGGTTGTTTTAAAATGGTATTTACAGTGAAGACGTCTTCAGTCTTCAAAAAATTCTATCATGCAATCTCCAGCATTATTTCTATTATTAAGGCCATATTTTCCAACTACTGATCCTTCCTCTTTGTTTCTAACCTTTGCATTCCATTTCTCAGTAATTACCAATAAGTTTGATTACATGTTTGATTAATTTCAGACTACAGAACTAAATAGAATTATTCTATTTCATCATAACTGGGTTTTGTGGTTAGTGGGTAAATTTGAATAATAGTGACATTAATTGGTGCTCTTGTTGTTGTTGATATTGTTACGTGCCATTGACAGATAGCAAGTCTACATAAGGTTCTGAAGGAGCTCTTGTAGCATAGTGGTTACAAGTAAGGCTGCTAACTTCAAGGTCATCAGTTTGAAACTACCAGCTTTTCTGCAGAAGAAAAGTGAGGCTTTCTTGCTCACATAAAGATTTACAGCCTCAGACATACTAGGCAGGATGGTTATGCATTAGAATCGATTCCACAGCACAAAACCACCACCACCATCATAAGGTTTTGAGGAGCAGCTGGTGAGTTTGAAATGCTGACCTTGTGATTCAAACCGACCTCAGCGAAGAGTGCTTTACCTTACAGTGCCACACCAGGATTCCTTGTAGGCATAGGCATATTATCTGATCACAGGCAGCATTATACATCAGGATAGATCTTAAAATATTCTTTTTGATGAAGAATGAGATACCAATCCTCTTCTGTCATTCCTGGTATAGTAAATCATTTGATTGTCAAATTTAAAATGTCAAACACTTTTCCATTTCAGCTCTTTAATGCCTAGGAATACCAATCTTTTTGTGTTCCATTTCATTTTTGACAATTTCCAATTTTCCTGGATTCTTGCTTTGCACATTCTGTAGTCTCATTATTAAAGAGTATTTGCAGCTTTTTCTCCTAATGTTTCAGGTGTGCCCCATAAGCAAATGAAAGTCCTGAAAGCTTTGCTCCATTCATGCCATCATGGTCAACTCTATTGTGAGGAGACAGCTGTTTGCCAGTCATATTTTGAGTGTCTTCCAACCAGTAGGGTTCATCTTCTGGCACTATATCTGACAATACTCTGTTTCATAATGTTTCAATATTCAATATTCTAGTGCTATCTGACAGTGTTCCACTGATATTCATAAGGTTTTAGTGGCTAAGAATTCAGGCATAGCCTGCCTCTCCTTCTTCTTAGTCTGTCTTAGTCTGGAAGCTCAGCTGGAAACTCTCCATCATGGGTAGCCCTGCTGTTTTTCAGACTACTGATAGCATAAGCTTCCAGTATTATAGCAACATGCAAGTCAACACAGTACAACAAACTGACAGACGAGTGGTGTATTAAGAAATATACACTTCGTATTTTTTAAGGTGAGCTTATTTCCAGATTATGAATTCTTTTTGATTCTCAAATTTCATCATTGTAGAGGTCAAGTGTCTTGAAAATAAAGCTCATATACCCTTCTTGAAATCTCTAATGATCATGAAATCTAAACAATGCCATGAAAGAGGGCATTTCATTCTAATTTTTAATGAAATAGACATTAAAAAACCATGACAAAGGTATTGTTTTTGTTTGTTGTTAAGTGCCATCAAGTCAGTTCTGACCCATAGCAACTCTGTTAGGGTTTCGAGGATGACTGGTGAGCTTGAGCTGTTGACCTTGTGGTTCAAACTGCTTTTGTAGTCCAGTGCATTAACCCATAGTGTGCAAGAGAACTCTGACAAAGGTCTAACATATGGCAAATGTATGCATACCCTGCATGAAATAAAATCTGGAAAAGTAATAAGACAAGTCTGTTTGGTTTTAAGTGCTTTCAAGTTGGTTCTGACCAATAGAGACACTGTATAGGGTTCCCAAAGAGTGAAAATAATTCCCTTTAAAAAAATAGGTTTCAATTAATCTAACAAAATTTATGAAACCTACTCTGGCTGTTAGTGAGGTTGAATATTGAATTTTTGATACCCTCTAATTCTAAATAGCAAAGGAAAAGATTGCTTTATCACTTTCTCACAAATCAACTCCCTGTGATGGTAGAATCATGAATCTTCTAAATGTGGGTTCTGAGAGGAAGATGAAGCTAGAACATACCTGAGTTCTGAGACTTGATAGGGAAAGTCATTGTGTTTTATGGAAGGTAGTACCACAAGCTGGGTTTTAGAAAAATGACATAAGGAATGACTTCATATCATTTGTTGCTACTCAGCTTTTAGTTCTGAAAACAGAAAGCTTTAGTATGTCATAGAATAAATCAAAAGTTTAGAACCAGATATATGGGATTAAATGCCAATTTTACCAATTTATAGCTTTTTGTATCATTTTCTTATCTTGAGTTTATGTGGAAACTGAGAACCATGGAATAAAATAATTTCTAGTTCCAAATATTGGAGTCATTATATACAAATTAGGAAGTGAGTTTGTTCCATGGGGTATACATTGGATTGGGAACCTCAAGATCAGTGCTTCGAGCCCACTGCTCCATCATAGATTTGAGCATGTCAGAAATCCTATACAGGGTTGCTATGAGTCAGAAATAACTCTACAGAACTTAACAACTGCAAAATATATGAATTGTTTAGCCCCAAACTGAAGTGAATTTATTTTCATTTGACTACAGGGTAAGCCTCAATGCTTTCTGCAATTATGGAAACTGGATCATGAAAGACGTCATAATCTTTCTCATCTGAGTGCTGTCATCTTGTTCTACAACTAAAGAGCTATACATGTAAAATTAACTACATGGCAGTTTGGAATCATACAAGAGTGAAGGAGTTCCTTCTAGTAGGATTAACTGAAAATCCTAATTTGCAAATCCCTCTCTTTTTTGTTTTTGCTTTCATTTATTTCATCACTCTGATAGGCAACTGGGGAATGATTGTTTTAATTTGGTTAAATACCCGACTTCATACTCCAATGTACTTCTTTCTTAGCAATCTTTCTTTTTGTGATATCTGCTACTCTACAGTTTTTGCTCCTAAGATGCTAGTACATTTCTTATCGGTGCACAAGTCCAGCACATTTTCTGGTTGTGTACTACAGAGCTTCTTTTTTGCAGTATATGTAACAACAGAGGGCATCCTCCTGTCTATGATGGCTTATGACCGCTATGTGGCAATAGCTAATCCATTGCTGTATACAGTCATCATGACTCAAAGAGTGTGTATACAGATGGTCCTTGTATCTTACTTAGGTGGACTCATCAATTCCTTGACACACACAATAGGTTTGCTCAAACTAGACTTCTGTGGTCCTAACATAGTGAATCATTATTTCTGTGACATTCCTCCTCTTTTAAGGCTTTCTTGCTCTGATGCACACACCAATGAGATACTGCTTTTGATCTTCTCTGCGGTCATTGCAATATTCACTTTCAATATCATCATGATTTCCTATGTTCGCATCATCATTGCCATCCAGAGAATCCGTTCAGCTGAGGGGAGGCACAAAGCCTTCTCCACCTGTGCTTCCCACCTGACTGCTGTGATCTTATTTTATGGGTCTGTGACTTTTAGTTATATCCAGCCAAGTTCCCAATATTCCCTGGAACAAGAGAAGGTTTCTGCTGTGTTTTATACCTTGGTGATCCCCATGCTAAATCCATTGATTTATAGCCTTAGGAATAAGGATGTGAAGGATGCTGCAAAAAGATCAATATTGTGGAAGAGATTCCCTACTTGACTCAATCCTACGCATGATTTTTCTAATCTGAGATCATCCAGCAGAGATGTTGCTGTTATTGTTAAATGTTGTCGTCAGTTCCGACTATTAGTCAACCTGTATAGGATTTCCAAGAAGCAGTTGGTAAGTTTGAACCTCCAACCTTGCAATTCAAACTGGCCTTTCAGTCCAGTACTTATCCTACAGAACAACACCAGAAATCCAACCAGCAGAGATAGGAGATTTTCAAAATTGTTTCAGAGATTGAAATATGATCAAACAAAAATATGATCAACATATCACATGAAATTTAGGACAGAAGTGTTGAGTATGTATGATGATTAAAAATTGTTCTAATTCATCTTTCATGGTTTTGATGATGTAACAGTTCAATGTCCTCAAAAGCTAATATTCCCATGCTTAATTCTGAAATAGCTGACCATAGACATAAAAGAATCAGACATTGATTAAAATCAAAAGAATACTCTGACCAGAGTCATTTATTAAGTGCATTCCTGTCTCATTGTATCATCAATAACATTATATGCATAATAATGCTTTGATTATTTTTAAGACAAAATGTTAGGAAAATATGTCAAAAGTGCTTATAAATTAGACAAATTCTATTACTTCTGCATGTGATGGAATAGCTGGTAGTCAAGACAATATTTCTTCAAAAATTACTGAAAAAGTAAATAAGATATAGAAATAATACATTGAGAAAGAGTGAATCCCTTCTAAGTCAAAACAAACTGGAGTGACTGCAAGTTCAGAAAGATTAATCTTGGAGAGGTAAACTGACCCATTGTGTTCTCTCAAGGGACACCTGAAAATGCAGGGAGTGCCCTCTGGGCTTCAGAATAACTGGCTGATTATCTAATAGATATTCTGTAAGTCTTACCACACTTGGTTGTATTTTCCCTCACAACAATAGCCAAATTCTGGGCATGAATAGAAAGAAGAAAAGATGAATGTATAGTTAGATAAATAGATAAATAGATAGATAGATAGATAGATAGATAGATAGATAGATAGATATGAGGAGACTTCATAAAGTTCATGGATAAATGGAATTAAAATGATAGAATATATAAACATTATAATGTTTCCTTGTAGAGATACAGATATAGATAGGTATATTGATAGATAGCTAGTCATACGTGGAAAGCCACTTAAAAGCAGAAAGGAGATTTTGGTGGTGTTATAAGCCATGGAAATATTAAACACTCTGACCCACCAAAGGAAGGGTGGACTTGTGCACACGGACTGCTCTGGGAGAAAGAGAAACTGGTGAACTTTATACAGTTATGTGGTCTGAAACAATAACTGTATTAAACAGGAATCTAAAGACACAGCTAGTTTTCTTCACAGGGAATTTGAGTTTGGGGGTTTATGTTTTAAGAAGATAATCATGGACTATAAAGGAAGAGTGATATATGCAGTTTGCTATACTTAGAAATCAAAGTTCTGCTAGAAGGAAAGCCATCAACAAATGTAATAAGGTTTGTAGCTCAAACATTTGCTAAAGTTTAAACTTTATGTAATCTAGTACACTTTAGGACTACTCCCAAGTACGGGACTAAGCTAGAGAGACAATGTGAAAATTTTCTGTCTTTAGGTTCATAGTTAATAAAGTTGTACCAGAGTTAGAGTACCTGTATCATGCACAGAGCAGTTGTGTTTTTAATGTATGAAGATATATATGACTGGAGGCTAATCTCATACCTCCAAAGAACTGAAACTAAATCCCCTGCAGATCTTAAAGGATAGAGAAAAAGACAGGGAGAGAGAGATATCAGACTTTAAATCAAACCCTGGAGGGGAGTCAAACACCCCCAAAACAAGAACAAACTTGGAGAAACATATGGTCGCACTCTCCAGTGCTTATCTTACACTACCACACTGGAACTCCATGCTCTGACTCTATCCTAGTCTAATTCAGTTCATTTAGTAACTGAATTTCCAAGATTAGCACCTCATCCTGTCTTCCCACTTGTAGAAAACAGTATCATTCAGTCTCTAAGATGATTTTATACATATAAAAAGAACCAGAATGTATAATCAAAATCATAAAGCAAAATATACAAATAGACCCATAGAAAGTCTACATGTTGGAGTTTATAAAGTACTTTAAAAATTACTGTTAATATGTTAAAGAACACTAAAAAAAACACCTAGAAAACTGTATGAGAAAAGGAAATATTTGAGGGGATAAAAAGACTAAAAACAAAATCACTGCTGGGCCAACTATATCTCCACAAGCTCAAAATGAGGTTGGACCTGTACCTCATATTGTACATAAAAATTAACTCAAAATAGATCGGTTACCTAAACAGGAGAACTAAAGTGATTAAAATCTTAGATGAAAACATAGGAGTATTATGGCTCTAATTATATGATGACAAAGTTGTATTCTTTCACCATACTTATTCAACCAGTATGCTGAGCAAATAATCCAAGAAGCTGGATTATATGAAGAAAAACGTGGCATCAGGATTGGAGGAAGACTCATTAACAATCCGAAATATGCAGATGATACAACCTTGCTTGCTGAAAGTGAAGAGGACTTAAAACATTTACTGATGAAGATCAAAGAGCACAGTCTTCGGTATGGATTATATCTCAATAATAAATAAAAACAAAATCCTCACTACTGGACCAATAAACAACATTCTTATCAATGGAGGAAAGTTTGAAGTTGTCAAGGACTTCATTCTTCTTGGATTAACTATCAACACTCATGAAAGCAACAGTCAAGAAATCAAATGATGTATTGCATTAGGCAAATCTGCTGCACAAGACCTAATTAAAGTGTTGAAGAGCAAAGTTGTCAGTTTGAGGACTAAGGTGCACCTGACCCAAGCCATGGTATTTTCAATAACCTCATATGCATGTGAAAGCTGGACAGTGAATAAGGAAGACCAT